TGATATTTAATGTTCATTCAATGATTAAATCATCATTGTCATTGATATTTGTGATATTATTTCATTTTTGTTATTAAATTATGTTATTATTTGATGACATGATACCACGTTATTCCACGTTGATATGAATAACAAAATATGAATAACAACCAACACAACAACAAGTCATCACATCATCCTCATTAAGTATTTAAAGGAACTTGAACAAATAACAAGCATTTAGAAATAAAACATGGACCCAAACAAATGGACAGATGCAACTGTTCAAATGTTCAAAGAATCACAAGAAATAGCATTTGAAAGAAAAAATGCATACATTATGCCAATTCATATGATGGAAGCAATTGTTGAAGAAGAATCAAATATTGTTATCCGAATAGTTGAAATGATGGGAGGTGATGTTAATAAATTAAGGAAAGAAATAAAAGAAACAATGAATAAAATTGCAGTTCAAAATCCACCACCAGTTGATATTGGACTTCATCCAACAACACAACAAGTATTAAGAAGAGCAATAGAGAAACAAAAAATAATGGGAGACTCATATCTTGCAATAGATGTAATTGTAATGTCATTAATGGAAGAGAAAGAAATTAGTACAATAGTAGGAAATAGTGGAATTAATGTGAAAGAATTTAACAAAAAAATAACAGAAATGAGAAAAGGACAAAGTGTAGAAACAAAAGAAGCAGAAAGTCAATATGAAGCATTAAAGAAATATGGAAATGATTTAACAGCACAAGCAGAAAGTGGAAAGATGGATCCAATTATTGGAAGAGATGAAGAAATTAAACGAGTTATTCGTATTTTATCAAGAAGAACAAAAAATAATCCAGTATTAATAGGAGAACCAGGAGTAGGTAAAACAGCAGTAGTTGAAGGACTTGCACAACGAATCGTTAAAGGAGATGTTCCAAGTAATTTACAATGTCGAGTTATTGGATTAGATATGGGAGCATTAATAGCAGAGCACAATATAGAGGACAATTTGAAGAAAGATTAAAAGCAGTAATAAAAGAAGTTAAAGAGAGTAAAATACCTATTATATTATTTATAGATGAATTCATACAGTATTAGGAGCAGGAGCAACAGGAGAAGGAGCAATGGATGCAGCTAATATTTTAAAACCAATGTTATCAAGAGGAGAATTACGATGTATTGGAGCAACAACAATAGAAGAATATAGAAAATATGTAGAAAAAGATCCAGCATTTGAAAGACGATTCCAACAAGTTTATGTAAATGAGCCAAGTGAAGAAGATACATTATATATTCTTCGAGGAATACGAGAGAAATATGAAAATCATTATGGATTAACAATTACCGATTCAGCATTAGTTTCAGCAGCAACATTAAGTAAAAGATATATTAATGGAAGATTTCTTCCAGATAAAGCAATTGATTTAGTTGATGAAGCATGTGCTACATTATTTACACAAAAGAATTCACAACCAGAAGAAATAGATAAATTAGAAAGAAGAGAAACACAATTAAATGTAGAGAAAATAGCATTAGAAAGAGACATTAAAGAAAGTGATGAAGACCATAATAAAATGATTAAAGAAAGACTACAAGATATTGAAAAAGAATTAAGTGAAAATAAAGAGAAATTAACAAAATTACGAATTAACTATGAAAAAGAAAAAGGAGGAAGTGAAGAAATGAAAGAACTTGCAACGAAAATAGAAGCTATGAAACATAAAGCAGAAAGTACTAAAGATTTAGAAGTAGCAGCTGATTTAAAATATTATGCAATACCAGAAGCAGAAAAAAGAATGAAAGAATTAAAGGAACAAAATAAAGAAACAACAATGATATCATTACAAGTTACACCAACACAAATAGAAGAAGTAGTTAGTAGATGGACAGGAATTCCTGTTACTAAAATGAATCAAACAGAGAAAATAAGACTAATGAAATTAGAAGAAGAACTACATAAACGAGTAATAGGACAAAATGAAGCAGTAACAGCAGTTAGTGATGCAATTATTCGAAGTAGAGGAGGATTAGGAAATGAAAAACGACCAACAGG